ATCGGTCACCTCGTCTAAAAACTCACGGCAATTCCACGTGACTTACAATATTACGGGTGACGAAGACAGATTGCTTTTTGCACGAATTACATTCTTCTACCAATGAAAACATTAAGTTGCATACCGCTAAAAATTATGCATTAACAGTACTTTGGATATAGAACAACAATCCAAATAGATACGGCAAACTCAAGAAAACTCACCGATTCAGACGAGATGAAATACAATATGACCCTAGGATTGGCGATCGTAGTGGTCGTCAGTCGGATGAATTACTGAAAAACAAAGAAACAAACTCCTATTAATGTCACTGCAGTTACAAGAGAGAGTGTACCACACATGATAAAACTCACCGCTTATGACGTCATGCACGTACATGCAGCCCTAGGGTTGGCGGTGGTAGTCGAGGTCCTCTGACAGGATTCACGACTTATGAAGAGAGGTGATGCTCATCGTCCGGTTGTCCGAATTCTTTAACGATTAAGAAACGGGTACCAATTAACAACAATATCATTGTAGTTTTCAAAACAATTTAAAGTATAATACGCGAAGTTGCGAGAAGATTCAAACGCGATGTGACGAGTGTTAAATGGCGGCAGCTAATACTCTAATGCGCCAATCCCTATAGCGTGAACCAACTACAACTTCATAATCTAAAACCAGGAATGTAATGTTCGGGTACTTTCCGAACTGATGCACGTAGCATAACATGACTTTCAAAAGACGAGCTGTTTTTTCGAAGCCAATGATCGGTCACCTCGTCTAAAAACTCACGGCAATTCCGTCTAACTTACAAAATTACGGATGATGAAGACAGATTGCTTTTTGCACGAATGACATTCTTCTACCAGTGAAAACATTAACTTGCATACCGCTAAAAACTATGCATTAACAGTATTTTGGACATAGAACAACAATCGAAACAGATACGGCAAACTCAAGAAAACTCACCGATTAAGACGAGATGAAACAAAGTACGACCGTAGGGTTGGCGATCGTAGTGGTGGCCAGTCCGACGGAATTACTGAAAAACAAAGAAGCAAATACCCATTAACATCATTGTAGTTTCGACAACAATGAAAAGTGCAATCAGCCAAATAAGTATAAAGTTGGTATGCATCAAGAGCCCTATGGAGCTCGAAAATACAAAAGTGTCCCAAACATGACAAAACTCACCACTCACGTCGTGACGCACGTAGATTCAACCCTAGGGATGGCGGCGGTAGTCGAGGACCTGACAGGATTCACGAATTATGGAGAGAAGAGAGAAACTGCGCCCCCTACAGCCTGTGGCGGAGGTAATGGTCATCGTCCGGTTGTCGCAATTCCTGAAAAACTAAGATAGGGGAACCAATTAACGACGACATAATTACAGTTTACATAATAATAATAATTTCAAGTAAAATCTCACCTATTAAGATAAGATGATGTATCTGCGACCCCAAGTTTGGGCGGTGTTGGAAACCTGAAAAACAAACCATCAAACAATAACGTGTTCCAGTCAACATCACTGTAGCTTTAATAATAATTTAGAGTAAAATTGATACGAGTACTAAAGACCTACAACAAGATACAAGGTCTCCTACTACCAGCAAGGATGCATCAACTGAAATCCAGAGATGCCCAAAACTCAAGGAAACTCACGTATGCGGAGGAGACGACCTGACACCGTCCCCCTAGGTACGGCGGTGTTAGTGGTAGTGTCCCGTTGTCAGAAACCTGAATTTAATGTACAATCTACCAATAACAATGACCGTGTAAAGGAAATCAATTGACTCTAATATCCGAAGATTTACAAATTTTCAAATTACCATTGACCAGAACAGCACAAGCTGAGACGCAATTTCAAACCGTCCCACTAGAAGCCCAATTTAACACACCTCAAGGCTGAGATCCAAAACACGCGGTGTCAGAGAAACTCCACGTATTTAATCAAACGAGTCGGATATATATATATATATCGCCAAAAACCGGCAGAATGAAAATGAGAATTCAGATAATTATGAAAATATGTTTTCATCCTGTGCTTAGTGGTCGACGAGGTCGACACGGCGTCAAAACCCAGTGAAGCATTTGCATTATCGTCAGCGCAGTAAAAAAAACCCTAACATCTAACAAAACTACGGAGTTTTAACAGAAAATGCAAAACGGTTGAAGCTTTACGCGAGTTCAAGTTACCATTGACCAGAGACGCAACCTCAAGCCGGCCCACTAGAAGCCCAATTTAACACACCTGAAGGCTGAGATCCAAAACACACGTATTTATTTAAAGGAATCGGAAATATATATCGCCAAAATGTGGCAGAATGCAAGTCACAATTCAGAGAATTATGAAGCGCTAGGCGACAACTGATATAAATGCGGCCATTAGAGACCCCAACATACCTGAAGACTGGAGACGTCCGCTTCCAACTCTCCCGACGTAAACTCATATCTGGCGACCTGTCAATTTACGCGGAGCACGAAAGGCAAAGATAAAATATTCATCCACACGCGTGACAGCAGAGACCCTATCGGGCGCAATCGACTTTTGAAAAAGATATTAGCTTGGAAGGTCACGCATTCCATCCACATCGCAAATCTTCTAAATCAACCTGCGAGAACAGGCGTACCTTAACCCAAGCCTCGGTGGAACACATCGGCCCATTAACCGGAATCTATTGTACATTTTAATAAAGTCGACAGAGACGAAGTTTTGTAAACATCTGTATTCTTCCCGTAGTTCAATGTCACAATTATAATAAATACTGACGGGACGCAGCAGAAACTAGGAAAATAGTGGTAACAATCTGCCATAACGTTTCGTGTCTTCAGACCAAAGAACCATTTTGTAGGTGTCATTTCCCATTTCAAAATACAGTAGATACACTTCCTGCATATCTTACTTTGTCATATTTACAGTTTATTTGAAAAATAAATAAATTTAATATTTGCAAAATAATCTTTGTTTACTCACTGTTCCAGACCAAGATACCGATTTCACAACCACCTCACAACACTGAAACTTTACAACAAATCTCGCCAATTAAGACGAGAAGGTAACTCCGCCCCACAGGTTCGCTCGGGGGTTGTGGTGATGGTCCGGATGTCGGAAACTCTAAAAAAAAACTAAGAAACAGTTTCCATATAACAAGAACATCATTAATTTTCAATAAAATATTTAGCATATGGAGAAATGCTAAAAGCCTCACTTAACCAGCGTTCTAATTACCTTCGACGTAGTATCAAACACTGACGCGTAGTATCAAACCGTCCCATAACAAGCCCAATTGAACACATCTGAAGCCCTCGTATCAACCTCAGACTCGGTCAGAAGAACTCTGAGATCTTAATTAAACGCACAAACTGTCAGAATAAAAATCAGAAACTGGATAATTGCTTTTAACGCCGCGATTACTGGTCGACCACAAAATGCCATCAAAATATTCGCAGCGTCACCAACATAAAAACCAGCCAAATTTTTACAAAAAACACCAAATGGCTAAAGCTTTATACGAATAAATTACCATCGTCCACACAAACACAAGCTGATACGTAATTAACAAAATGGCCGACTTACGTAAAGACTGAACACATACGCGCTGTACCGGAGCAGGAGACATACAACCGCAAAAGGAAAGTCGACTTGTTCGGAAGAAACCTCGGAACCGGTGACCTGACAAGTTTCGCGGAGCACGCAGGGAAAACCAAAGATGAAAATCTCGTCAAACGCTTGTCGGCAGAGATAACTAAGGGACAGAGAATTAAAAAAAGCTAAAAAACATAAAATAACTGGCAGCGTCCTCTGTGCGGGAACATGGGGACCCACCTCAAACGCCATCCCGCAAAGAGGGCGCAAGACGTTATTATCTGCTTTAAGAGATTTGTTTTAATTTCCTAAGACCACTCGGCCGCTGGGGTTGAGCCCCCCTTTCGGAATTATTCGATATCAATTACCGCGCTTTCGTTGCTGGTACTATTTTCGAATTTTGAGTGGTCCTTTTATTACACCTAATCTTATTAAGCTCTTGCTATATCCTGTAGACAAGATCTGTTGCCAGGTGGCTTAGTCGAAAGAGTCGGACGACTTGCCTCGCCTACAAGGTCCTGTTTTCCGTAGCGTGCAAACGCAAAGCCAACGAGTAGGACTCGGGCGGTTCGTTGGAACCCGCCACCAGGCGCCCGGGCCGTTGTCCGGAGCCGGGTCCGCGCCTCTGCTCGCTCAAGGAACGGCCTGGGCCTCCACCTCCCTTCGTGGGAGAGGTTTTTAAGGGTGCCTACTACAGGCACCTTCAAAAAACTTCCCACGAATGGAGATTGGGGCCCAAGCCGAGGTGGGCGCTGGGTGGTGGAAATTGTCCAGATGCTGCACGAAACGAAGGTTTGTTTTTAATTTTTTTGCAATAAATCAATATTGTACATTTATGTTTTCAGTTCTTTGTTTATTTACTTTTGTATTGTAATGCTTGTATAACCTCGTATAACGTAACATAACTACTGACAGTTTACACTATCACATCACTATGACGAACAAAAATTCGGTAACAGTTTCATACAACTTTAAATATATTATTTATATCAACTCACAATCCCGTTCGTGTAATGTACTAATTCAGCTCAAACAAGACCACACACACAGGGAAGCTTAACATTCACAATCACCTTTCAAAAAGAAACACATTCACTACGCCCACCCTCCAATCGCTGATTACATCAATATATCATTTTTTAATCTTAATAAGCAACCAGTTCAAGATATTTTTATATGAATGAATAGTTCTACTCAGTTCATTATTAACTTCTATTTAACGATATAGAAGACAAATTAATACAACATGTCAAGACAAAAGAATATACCGTTCGTTAAAATATCTACCTTTTTATTGACCAACAAAAACAATTCAGTGATTTAAAAACTCTCGGCATAGCATAATTCAATTCATGTAAATATATTTCCTAATAATTTATTATAAAACGTTTGAATTTATTACCAGACTTGTTTTACATTAACAGAACTCTTATAGTTCAAACTTTCTTTCCTTTTATGAAGAATAGCCATATTACTTCCAAGACCTTTTCCCTATTAACTCGTTATTAAACAGGGGTTATACAGTGCGCCTGCATTCAACACACATGAAAGATATAATGTTAATTTCTCTTCCTGTTACCTCTTAAACCGTGCACTGAGAATGAAGGTCGTTTCTGTCGTACAGAGGGACTGATTGCAGTGTTCAGTGCTTTGTGCATTTCTTAACAGATTATAGCGAGAAAACATTTAATCGCACTAAAGACCTATTTTACTTTAAGCCAACATTTTTAAACATTTTCTTAGAATGGGCAGATTATTTTCCACAAACTTTGGTCGAAAACAGATTGTATATTTAACACACTTCTCTCAAAGACTAACTTAATTCCAATACGCATGGTAAATATAATGTTTATTTTTATTCATGTTATCGCTATAAACATAACATCTTGTCGACCCAATGTTTGAGCACTGTTCAATACCATCTCTATACAGTGGCAACACAGGTAATGGAGAATCTGCACAGTTTGTACGTTAACTAATAATTACGAGGGCAAATGTCTTCCAAAGCAACGTCTATTTAAAGCCCAAGATGGTGTATTACAGCTATTCTTCTATCTCATTTATTCATCCTGATGATTAAGAAATCGTGTTCATTTCGGAATAATTTATAAAACTTCATGATTTTTTTTAGTTATTTAGTGTTATATGAATCTGAATGGTATCGAAATATTATTTACAATTAAACTAGATCTCATTTAAAATGAAACACTTTGTGCTCTCGTGATTAATTTTAACAGACTTACAAATTCTTTACACTGCATGAACGAGACGACTTACCACGGCAGAGAGCTGCAACTTCCAATCCGACAAGTAATCGACTGACACTGTGATTGGCTGGTGACGGGGTGACTACAGCCATTTGCATTGCCACTGTACGAGAAATATATTTACCTCGAAAGAAAGTTTGTGTCACTAATTTACCAAAAAAATAAAAAAAAATTCTCATAGATTTTATTATAGCAAATGTGGGCGCGGGGTGGGCGGAATGCTGGAAATTGTCCAAATGGCGCACAAAACGAAGGTTTTTTTAAAAAATTCCAAAAATTTCAACAAATTTTGGTTTTGTGCGCTTTTTATACATTTTCAAAATTTTTCCGATCCCATCTTCAGGAGAACACGTCAGCTAGTGTCTGTCCTGTCACATTCTGTCTCTTCCAGACCCGGACTCCGCCTCACACAGACACTGCAAGACAGTCTCCGCAGCACTCGCTATCTGCCGGATGCAGTCAGTCTCTGTACAGGACTAGAACCTTGCAGGCGATAAGGCAGACACTGATTCTAGCGGATAACGGGAGGGGAGTGTTTTGAAAAAATTAAATTTCCAAAATTTTCAAAAAATGCTGAAAATTGTCCAAATGGCGCACAAATATTTTTTTTAAAAATTTCTACTTAAAATTTGTTCGAAATTTTTTGGTTTTGTGCGCTTTTTAGACATTTTCCACCATTGTTTTTTATTTTTCGAAAAATTTTCAAAACGTTTCTCATTCCGTCTTCAGGAGAACACGTCAGCTAGTGTCTGTACGTCAATGCACGGTCTCTGTTAAACCCGGACTCTGACGCACAGCCTTTGCAACAGACGGTCTCTGCATCACACATTCACTCCCGGACGCAGTCTCTGCTAGTCTCAGTCCTACCACATCCGGTCTCTCCTAGACCCGAACTCCGCCTCACCCAAACTCTGCAAGACACGGTCTCCGCATGCAACATTTTTCCAAAATTTACGAAAATGTTTGGTTTTGTGCGATTTTCAGAAAATTTACAGCATTTTTTAATTTTTCTTAAATTTTGTAAAATTTGAATATTTTTTTCTAAACTATCCCCAAGAGATGCCTGCCAAACTCGGTGAATGCCTAACCCTGTCTCTGCCTTACGTTTGTCTCCTGCACCTGGGCTTCTCATTGAAATTGGCAATTCTTCAATGACAATTAAACTAGATCTCATTTAAAATGAAACACTTTGTGCTCTCGTGATTAATTTTAACAGACTTACAAATTCTTTACACTGCATGAACGAGACGACTTACCACGGCAGAGAGCTGCAACTTCCAATCCGACAAGTAATCGACTGACACTGTGATTGGCTGGTGACGGGGTGACTACAGCCATTTGCATTGCCACTGTACGAGAAATATATTTACCTCGAAAGAAAGTTTGTGTCACTAATTTACCAAAAAAATAAAAAAAAATTCTCATAGATTTTATTATAGCAAATGTGGGCGCGGGGTGGGCGGAATGCTGGAAATTGTCCAAATGGCGCACAAAACGAAGGTTTTTTTAAAAAATTCCAAAAATTTCAACAAATTTTGGTTTTGTGCGCTTTTTATACATTTTCAAAATTTTTCCGATCCCATCTTCAGGAGAACACGTCAGCTAGTGTCTGTCCTGTCACATTCTGTCTCTTCCAGACCCGGACTCCGCCTCACACAGACACTGCAAGACAGTCTCCGCAGCACTCGCTATCTGCCGGATGCAGTCAGTCTCTGTACAGGACTAGAACCTTGCAGGCGATAAGGCAGACACTGATTCTAGCGGATAACGGGAGGGGAGTGTTTTGAAAAAATTAAATTTCCAAAATTTTCAAAAAATGCTGAAAATTGTCCAAATGGCGCACAAATATTTTTTTTAAAAATTTCTACTTAAAATTTGTTCGAAATTTTTTGGTTTTGTGCGCTTTTTAGACATTTTCCACCATTGTTTTTTATTTTTCGAAAAATTTTCAAAACGTTTCTCATTCCGTCTTCAGGAGAACACGTCAGCTAGTGTCTGTACGTCAATGCACGGTCTCTGTTAAACCCGGACTCTGACGCACAGCCTTTGCAACAGACGGTCTCTGCATCACACATTCACTCCCGGACGCAGTCTCTGCTAGTCTCAGTCCTACCACATCCGGTCTCTCCTAGACCCGAACTCCGCCTCACCCAAACTCTGCAAGACACGGTCTCCGCATGCAACATTTTTCCAAAATTTACGAAAATGTTTGGTTTTGTGCGATTTTCAGAAAATTTACAGCATTTTTTAATTTTTCTTAAATTTTGTAAAATTTGAATATTTTTTTCTAAACTATCCCCAAGAGATGCCTGCCAAACTCGGTGAATGCCTAACCCTGTCTCTGCCTTACGTTTGTCTCCTGCACCTGGGCTTCTCATTGAAATTGGCAATTCTTCAATGTGAATTTTTTCAAATTTCTTTGGTTTTGTGCGCTTTTTGGACAATTTCCAGCATTTTTTGATTCTTTGAAAATTTTGAAATTTTTCAAAATTTCTACCACCTGATGCCTTGCAGGACCGGTCTCTATCAGACTGTTTCTGATGTACTGTGTCTCTGACGAATGCGGTCTGTGCCTGACTCGGTCTCTGCAGGGACAGGTCTCTGTGTGACACGGCTCTGACGTGCCGTGTCTGAGAGCCCAGGTGTGTCAGACTGCTTTTGTTCTAAATTCTGATGCTGAGAAATGATCATATACTTTGATATCTCTGCATTTATTTCTAAACCAACATTCCTAGCCCTTAAGATTGTTTCTTTTTCTTACTTGTTATAGTATTTATATTATTGCCCAACAGTTTAATATTATCAGCATAGACCAAAAGCTGATTTGTCCCATTCAATTCCAAACCACTCTGATTTTCTTCGACCTTCCTAATGGTATATTCTAAGGCAAAACTGAAAATCACCAGTGACAGTGTATGTCCTTGTTTAAGGCAATTCTGATTAGGAAATGTATCAGACAGATGTTTACCTACATGAATCTAGCTACAGGTTTCACACTGAAACACATTTTAATTAGCCTAAAGAGCTTCTCAGGTAAACCAGATTCAAGCAAGATATTGTAAAGTGTTTGTCTTTTAACTCAGGAATAGACTTTCTTCAAGATTATAAATAGTTAATTTATTGTCATGGTAAGAGACAATTGGTTTTTTTTATTAAGTTTGCTAAATTTACTACTCTGACCCATTACATTACTAACTTCATGTAGACTTTCCTTACCAATAAGCAAATTAAAAAAAATTTCTCTCCATTTGCATTGAAATATCCTACCAAAATTTTCATATATTCATATAGTACCTATGGAACTCTTCAAGTACTTGTTCTAGTTCATTGTAAAAAATTATCCTTTGTGTCATCTTTATCCTCAGTTAGGGCATGCACATTCAGTACACTCCCCTTCCAACATAACCTCACTAAATCTAGCTTGTACTTCTCTAAATCCCCAGCTACTGACTTGATTGAACCCACCCTGTGGAGATTCCTAAATTTCCAAGTGCCAGGAAATTACCGTAGTCTTACTCAAACATTCCAGGGTCTTGACACCTGTTTTAGTGACTATTGTTCACACTACAGTCCTACCAAATTATGAACTACCTGTTCAAGAAAATCAAACTGAATGAAACAAGCACCATGATAACTGATATGCAGTGCCTCAGACATTCAGCTGTAGTCTCTGCATCACACATTCACTCCCGGACGCAGTCTCTGCTAGTCTCAGTCCTACCACATCCGGTCTCTCCTAGACCCGAACTCCGCCTCACCCAAACTCTGCAAGACACGGTCTCCGCATGCAACATTTTTCCAAAATTTACGAAAATGTTTGGTTTTGTGCGATTTTCAGAAAATTTACAGCATTTTTTAATTTTTCTTAAATTTTGTAAAATTTGAATATTTTTTTCTAAACTATCCCCAAGAGATGCCTGCCAAACTCGGTGAATGCCTAACCCTGTCTCTGCCTTACGTTTGTCTCCTGCACCTGGGCTTCTCATTGAAATTGGCAATTCTTCAATGTGAATTTTTTCAAATTTCTTTGGTTTTGTGCGCTTTTTGGACAATTTCCAGCATTTTTTGATTCTTTGAAAATTTTGAAATTTTTCAAAATTTCTACCACCTGATGCCTTGCAGGACCGGTCTCTATCAGACTGTTTCTGATGTACTGTGTCTCTGACGAATGCGGTCTGTGCCTGACTCGGTCTCTGCAGGGACAGGTCTCTGTGTGACACGGCTCTGACGTGCCGTGTCTGAGAGCCCAGGTGTGTCAGACTGCTTTTGTTCTAAATTCTGATGCTGAGAAATGATCATATACTTTGATATCTCTGCATTTATTTCTAAACCAACATTCCTAGCCCTTAAGATTGTTTCTTTTTCTTACTTGTTATAGTATTTATATTATTGCCCAACAGTTTAATATTATCAGCATAGACCAAAAGCTGATTTGTCCCATTCAATTCCAAACCACTCTGATTTTCTTCGACCTTCCTAATGGTATATTCTAAGGCAAAACTGAAAATCACCAGTGACAGTGTATGTCCTTGTTTAAGGCAATTCTGATTAGGAAATGTATCAGACAGATGTTTACCTACATGAATCTAGCTACAGGTTTCACACTGAAACACATTTTAATTAGCCTAAAGAGCTTCTCAGGTAAACCAGATTCAAGCAAGATATTGTAAAGTGTTTGTCTTTTAACTCAGGAATAGACTTTCTTCAAGATTATAAATAGTTAATTTATTGTCATGGTAAGAGACAATTGGTTTTTTTTATTAAGTTTGCTAAATTTACTACTCTGACCCATTACATTACTAACTTCATGTAGACTTTCCTTACCAATAAGCAAATTAAAAAAAATTTCTCTCCATTTGCATTGAAATATCCTACCAAAATTTTCATATATTCATATAGTACCTATGGAACTCTTCAAGTACTTGTTCTAGTTCATTGTAAAAAATTATCCTTTGTGTCATCTTTATCCTCAGTTAGGGCATGCACATTCAGTACACTCCCCTTCCAACATAACCTCACTAAATCTAGCTTGTACTTCTCTAAATCCCCAGCTACTGACTTGATTGAACCCACCCTGTGGAGATTCCTAAATTTCCAAGTGCCAGGAAATTACCGTAGTCTTACTCAAACATTCCAGGGTCTTGACACCTGTTTTAGTGACTATTGTTCACACTACAGTCCTACCAAATTATGAACTACCTGTTCAAGAAAATCAAACTGAATGAAACAAGCACCATGATAACTGATATGCAGTGCCTCAGACATTCAGCTGTAATGAGATGATAAAGTTGCATCATATTGTGATAAATATATATTTGTTTAAATCTTGTCAGTCTAATCACAATAAAATTCCTATTAAATATTATTATAATTAGCATTTAAATATTTAAAATATATTAAATGATGTTCTCTATCGAAATGTTCGATTTACATTAGATCATCACTTTTTACACGACATGTTTCAGTTCTAAAAGAACCATCTTCAGGTGTATAAAATTATATAAACTTAAATATAATTTCTTAAATGCAACTTTTAGTCAGATGTGTATCAGATTTCAAATAATATTTTCTTCCAGATTTCATTGTATTTTTAATATCGTATTCGAAGTTGTTCTGTATATGTATGTCGTGCTTAACATGATTTTGTGTGGGTGAACGTTTTGTTGTTGTTTTTGTATCATCCAGAAATGAAGTTGTGGAGGAGTACGTCCGTCTGGAAGTATTCAAGTAAACAATATTCAGCTGTAAGTTACTTACTGATATGCTCCACAGGCCACTTGAAGTGATGCTGTAGGTCAGTATCATATGATCCTTTATCCTGTACACTAGCTCTGAAATCATAAGTGCAGGATTCGTATTCATACTAGTGCACACTATTCATTTACATATGTTAATAATAAACATGTATGGAGGCCTCTATACTGTCCTTAAAAAGATCTGGCAGGGAGGCTTTTTACAGTCACGGACAGGAATTGTGGCCTCGTTACAGCCGTTATAAAAGGCAGACATCAAAACTTTGAAAAAGCACATGAAGACGGCATGAAACAATTTATATAGTCACAATAATAGGCGAGTTTGGAGTCTCCTATATGCAATGGGCAGGCATGGAGGCTTCTTCAAAAAGCAAACATTAAATAAACCTTTCAGATGTGAAATGGCTCAGGATAGGGTGCAGAGATGGTACATCAAGAGGGCAATTAGTCCCTTAAAAGGTGGGAATTTATAGATGTGCTGCACAACTATTGATTTCTCAAAGAACCTGCTGCCTCAGTCACCACCACTTCCACAGATACCTCTCTCTCTAACACAACTACCATTAGCTCCAGTGTTATTCCTATAACTAAAATTTGTACCTCTATGTTACGCTAGATTCTTTAATGGCGTTTGTGCCTATAATTATGATGATATATTAGTCAGATTAAATTTCTTATCGTTACATTTAAGGAGGAGGCTTTTGGACGCTCTTTTCCTCGTGAATGGTTTTAAAGGCAAAATTATTTGCTCATCTGTTTTTGATACAGCTAGTCTATGCATACCTACTAGGTCTATCAGAGACTATTCTACCTTTACTGTACAACGTAATTTAGTTTAATTATTATTTTACTAATCTATAATATTTAGTTTTTTACTTATGAGTTATTTTGCAATAAATCAATATTGTACATTTATGTTTTCAGTTCTTTGTTTATTTGCTTTTGTATTGTAATGCTTGTATAACCTCGTATAACGTAACATAACTACTGACACTTTACACTATCACATCATTATGACGAACAAAAATTCGGTAAGAGTTTCATACATGCAAATCCTGTACACTAGCTCTGAAATCATAAGTGCAGGATTCGTATTCATACTAGTGCACACTATTCATTTACATATGTTAATAATAAACATGTATGGAGGCCTCTATACTGTCCTTAAAAAGATCTGGCAGGGAGGCTTTTTACAGTCACGGACAGGAATTGTGGCCTCGTTACAGCCGTTATAAAAGGCAGACATCAAAACTTTGAAAAAGCACATGAAGACGGCATGAAACAATTTATATAGTCACAATAATAGGCGAGTTTGGAGTCTCCTATATGCAATGGGCAGGCATGGAGGCTTCTTCAAAAAGCAAACATTAAATAAACCTTTCAGATGTGAAATGGCTCAGGATAGGGTGCAGAGATGGTACATCAAGAGGGCAATTAGTCCCTTAAAAGGTGGGAATTTATAGATGTGCTGCACAACTATTGATTTCTCAAAGAACCTGCTGCCTCAGTCACCACCACTTCCACAGATACCTCTCTCTCTAACACAACTACCATTAGCTCCAGTGTTATTCCTATAACTAAAATTTGTACCTCTATGTTACGCTAGATTCTTTAATGGCGTTTGTGCCTATAATTATGATGATATATTAGTCAGATTAAATTTCTTATCGTTACATTTAAGGAGGAGGCTTTTGGACGCTCTTTTCCTCGTGAATGGTTTTAAAGGCAAAATTATTTGCTCATCTGTTTTTGATACAGCTAGTCTATGCATACCTACTAGGTCTATCAGAGACTATTCTACCTTTACTGTACAACGTAATTTAGTTTAATTATTATTTTACTAATCTATAATATTTAGTTTTTTACTTATGAGTTATTTTGCAATAAATCAATATTGTACATTTATGTTTTCAGTTCTTTGTTTATTTGCTTTTGTATTGTAATGCTTGTATAACCTCGTATAACGTAACATAACTACTGACACTTTACACTATCACATCATTATGACGAACAAAAATTCGGTAAGAGTTTCATACATGCAAACAACTTTAAATATATTATTTATATCAACTCACAATCCCGTTCGTGTAATGTACTAATTCAGCTCAAACAAGACCACACACAGGGAAGCTTAACATTCATAATCACCTTTGAAAAAGAAACACATTCACTACGTCCACCCTCCAATCGCTGATTAGATCAATACATCATTTTTTAATCCTAATAAGCAACCAGCGATACTACGATGTGTGGTTTTGCGCAGTGCCTCACGTCTGGGGTATTTGCCGCTAGATGTCAGGAATAGTCCTCTTGAATATACTGCCATCTGGACATCATCTTAAATCGTGATGTTATGAAGGTACTTGATGCCTCCAAAATCAGTCCCTGATGATGGTGACAGCAAGAACCTTTGAAAGGCCCGTAAACTTCTACCAGACTACACGGTGCAACAACCCAGAATACAGGCATCTTGTTTTAGCAGACCACACGGCTCGATTTCTGTTAAAAGGTCTCGTGGTCCAAGTAGTATAATAAGAATCCGAGAGATGGCGCAGCAATGACTATATCTTAGTGCTCCGACCATAAAGTAAGCTTCCATCTGTGCATGCTCTCACAGTCTACCAAGTAGAAGCGTTCTCTTCTATAAGGCAAGGAGCACTTGAATGGTTAAAGTCTGTGTAATTGTTACTAGGCATACAGAATGTTTCATTCTGCATCACAAAAACCACCAGGATCACACGAATAAATACGGCAAACGTGTGAAAATAATAAATTAAAATTATTTATTTAAGATGCTCCACACTCAATGGACAATTTCAAATAATAATAATAATTCAATTATTTATTATTAGAGTGCTGCATCACCAGCCAGACGGCTTATTACAGATACAGCCCAAGGAAAATAAAGTAAATACAATAAAATATAATAACAATGTAAGCAAAAATAATCCCAGTAGTTATAGGGGCAACTGGAACTGTCTCCAGGTCACTCAGAACGTATTTGGCCAACATCCCGGGCGAACACGACGTCAGGGAACTTCAGAAAACTGCAATTTTGGGAACTTCACACATCATTCGAAAGATGCTGTCGTAAAATATGTAGTCATCTCTAAGAATAAAATATAATACATGTAACACGTATTAAAAGCAAAACGTATTTCGGAAATAGCTGCTGCATTATGTACCTTAGGGACAAGGTTTCTCTAAGGTACATGGAAGTACATACCCTAAAAGTGGTGAAGAGATCGGATAATAATAATAATTCAATCCTTTATTTTAAGATGCTGACACAACTGCAAAAGCCAACTTCAGAGTCAGGTAATTAACTAACTAGATGGCTCACCGAACCCGAAGGTTCATCACCGAATTAACCAAAGCCCTCCACCGGACCCTGTCCTGGGCCAACAAAATCCAGTCTCCTTCAACTCCTATCTCCCATAGATCACGCCTGAGATTATCCTCCCATCTACGGCTAGGTCTCTCCAGAGGTCTCTTCCCCT